TTAACAAACATAACAAAAAAGTCGTAAAATCAGGTGCAACTCACTTAGCACTTGCTTTGCTTAGTAAGAAAATTTCTGGTCCCAATTATGGTCATAAATTCAAAACTACCTACAGTAAGTTACATGAAAATAAAATCTCCATACATTTTATATTCCTACCAAGAATATATACTGTACAAGTTCTTGGTATGAAGAGAGAAAACACGGTATTTAGATTAAATACCAATTTTTACATAGTTTTTTTTTTTTAAAAAAAAAAAAAAAAGACATCTCAGCTTAATGTGAAAATAGAACAGCTAGAGTTATGGCCACCTAATGAGAAGGAAGGACTCACTTGAGAAGGGCCTAATGCTGGGAAAGATTGAGGGCAATAGAAGAATGGGACGACAGAGAATGAGATGGCTGGATGGAGTCACTGAAGCAGTAGGTGTGAACTTAAATGGACTCCAGAAGATAGTAGAGGACAGGAGGAACATTGTCCATGGGGTCGCGATGGGTCAGACATGACTTCGCAATTAACAACAAGAGTTATGAGTGAAATCATATGAAATAGACACAGGTCAAAAACAGACTGATTTTTTTTATCCTTACTTACAGCCCTAAAACCAGGTAGTCGTAAAAGAAACAAATATAACATATAGCAGTGATGGCAAACCTTTTAGAGACTGAGTGCCCAAACTGCAACCCAAAATCCACTTATGCATCATCGAATGCCGGGTGGATGTGGCCCATTGGGTGGGTGTGGCCCATTGGGTGGGCGTGGCTGCGGTGGTAACGGCAGACTGGGGGGGACTAAAAAGTTCAACCAATCAATTCCAACTTTGCAAGATCTTTTTTTTTCCTGCGAGAAGTTGAAATTGATTGATTGACTGAACCTTTTTTTTTTTTAACATGGCGGCGGAGGCCTAAAGCGAAAAGGTTTTATAAAACCCAGCTGAAGGCCTAGGACTGGGGTGATGGTGTGCATGCCCACGGAGAGGGCTCTGAGTGCCACCTCTGGCACCCGTGCCATAGGTTTGCCGCCACTGACATATAGTAATAAACACCCTTACAGCATCAAACAACTAATGCAGCAGATGCAGCATTAAAGAAATTGTCTTGCTAAAAACTACCACAGAAAGATCCTCAAAAGTAGTTTAGATGTTCTTTCTGAAAAGTTAAAAGACATGCAATATGAAACTTCAAACTTAGGACTGATACAATGCCTTAGTAAGACCACACTTGGAATATTGCATCCAGTTTTGGTCGCCATCTTATAAAAAGGGATGTTAATACTCTAGATTGAAAGACTGCAGAGAAGAGCAAAAAGATGATTAGGGGACTGGAGGCTAAAGCATATAAGGAACGGTTGCTGGAATTAGGTATGTCTAGTTTAATGAAGAGAAGGACAAGGGATGACATGATAGCAGTGTTCCAACATCTCAGGGGTTGCCACAGAGAAGAGGGAGTCAAGCTGTTCTCTAAGGCGCCTGAAAGCAGGACAAGAAGCAACAGATGGAAACTAATCAAGGAGAGAGAAGCAACCTAGAACTAAGGAGAAATTTCCTAACAGTAAGAACAATTAACCAGTGGAATGACCTATCTCCAGAAGTTGAGGTTTTTAAGAAGAGATTGGACAGCCATTTCTCTGAAATGTTATAGACTTTCCTGCTTGATCAGGAGATAGGACTAGAAGACCTCAGTTATTCTGTTAATTTCAACCAGGGTCCTACAACAGATTTAAATTATTAGAAGAATGAACTCTAACAGACAGATAGAAAACAGACATATGTTTGTCACTTAAGCATAATATCACCCTGTTATCTCCACAGTGTCCACCAATGAAACCTAATACAAAATTACAATGCAATCTGATTCCTTCTTCTTGTTCTAAGATATTTTTCCTCTATAAACTGGTAATAGTATTAGCATCTGCCATCCTGTAAAGTAAGTATTGCAGATAAAACTTTCTCAGCATTTTTTATTGCTCAGTGCTTGCTAGAACATTTATTATCTCCACCCCTGGCTACAGGGCAGTCAGTATTGATAAACAAACTTAATAAATAAACAAAATCAAATTTTCAGCACCACAGAGAGCACCAGTTAATTTAACTAGCTTTAATAAAAATGTGCCAAAATATGGATTGTGGGGTCTTTTCCCCATCATCACCAACAGTAATGTGTGTTCTTTTTGTACAACAACATCCAGGTGACTCAAAATAATTTCATGAGTTCAAGACTCGACATCCACCTGTCTAGACTGGATGTCCACCTTTCTGAAACGATATAGGTTCCCCTGCTCGAGCAAAGGGCTGGACTAGAAGACCTCCAAGGTCCCTTCCAGCTCTATTCTATTCTATTCCATTCCATTCCATTCCATTCCATTCCATTCTATCATTCCTCTATTCTATTCTATTCTATTCTATTCTATTCTATTCTATTCTATTCTATTCTATTCTATTCTGGCTGTGCACTTTCTATTTCATTAAATAGATGCCAATTACTCTGTAGAATTGGCAATAGGAGAGATATTATTGAAGCTGATACCTATCAAATCTCAGGTTTTCTTTCTTATAGGGAGGTGCTTGAAATGGGAATCTCCAGTCAGTGGATACATTTTTGGCTTTAAATTTTCAATAACTACCTGCCAGCTTTTGACAAGAGGTTGTTTTGATAGGTTGAGCCCAATCAGGGTCTGGATTTAGGCCAAATGAGATTAATGAACAAAGAATTTACAATTGTCATGAAGTTTGAAGTTCAGCACTTCCTTAATTAATTGAGTGTGCAGAACGGAATACATTGTAGCATATTAATTGTTGACCACCAAGCTATAAATATTTTAATGTGATCGAATGTCAGCAAAATCAATCATTTTTTCTGCCTTTTTCTTACTTCCTTATTATAGAAATCCTTTATTTCTTTATAAATACTTTTTTGATTTTTAACTTGTAGTTAATGTCTTTTTAGATCTTCATCAAATTTTTATTTTTCATCAGCAAGCTCCATCCTATAAGTTTTAGCAAAAAAAAAAGCTACAATCAAACCTTATACTCAGATTTCACTGAAGGTTTTATATTGTCCTATAATGAGACTCTAGAAAGAGTACAGAGAAGAGCAACAAAGATGATTAGGGGACTGGAGGCTAAAACATATAAGGAACAGTTGCTGGAATTGGGTCTGTCTAGTTTAATGAAGAGAAGGACGAGGGGGGACATGATAGCAGAGTTCCAATATCTCAGGGGCTGCTCCAAAGAAGAGGGAGTCAAGCTATTCTCCAAAGTGCCTGAAGGCAGGACAAGAAGCAATGGGTGGAAACTAACCAAAGAGAGAAGCAACCTAGAACTAAGGAGAAACTTCCTGACAGTTAGAACAATTAACCAGTGGAACAACCTGCCTCCAGAAGCGGTGAATGCTCCAACACTGGAAGTTTTCAAGAAGAAACTGGACAGCCATCTGTCTGAAATGGTATAGGGTTCCTTGCCTGAGCAGGAGGTTGGACTAGATGATCTCCAAGATCCCTTCCAACTTTATTATTATTGTTATTATTATTATTGTTACATACACAAGGTAAAATGGATAAAATTATGGAAAATGACATTATAAATCCAGTTCCTGCTAACTTTTTGGAGTGCAACAATAAGTAGTTTGATTACCAGAACATTTTGAGTAGCTCCAACACTGAATGCTCCAACACTGGAAGTTTTTAAGAAGAGACTGGACAGCCATTTGTCTGAAATAGTATAGGGTTTCCTGCCTGAGCAGGGAGTTGGACTAGATGACCTCCAAGGTCCCTTCCAATTTTATTATTATTATTATTATTATTATTATTATTATTATTATTATTATTATTATTATTATTATTACATACACAAGGTAAAATGGATAAAATTATGGAAAATGACATTATAAATCCACTTCCTGCTAACTTTTTGGAGTGCACCAATAAGTAGTTTGATTACCAGAACATTTTGAGTAGCTCCTCTATAAATATATGGTAAGAAATCATAATGGCTGTAGAATATCTAGCTTGGTCCTTTTCAGACTGTTAAACTGAGCTGATAAAAACATTGTTTATTTTTCCCACAAAACTGTACACACATCATCAAGGACTAAGCTATGACTTTGACAACTTGCAAATAATTTTAAATTACCAGTAAGATCTATCATAAAAAAAAAATAGCAAAATCTCCATACAAAAAATCAAATGACATTCAAGGAAAGAAAAAAAATGCCAGAATCTGACTGAGAAACAAAATATCTTAATTTCCCACGTAGATTGTTAATCTGTGACCTTTTTATGACAGCAATTACAAAATTGTTTAATTTACTGATTTATTAATAATATTAGTACTATATAAAGGTGATAAGGAAAAAAAATCACAATTACCAGTAATTTTGGGGAACTGATCAATGACCATATGCACAATGTCATTCTATAAATCTCTGGTGTGTCATGTTGGGCCATCTATATATTTTTATTTTTATTGGAAGAATTAACATTTTTTCTGATCTTTGCTAGGAAGAGTGGGGATGTAATTACCCAATGAAATCAGATGCAACAATATTTTCACATTGTCAACAGCCTAAAAATGTAAATGAATGGTGATAATGTGAGATGGTTCCAGATTGTTTGGACCAACTCATTTATCCACCCATTTTCTTGACTGAAATAATCAATCAAAGACATTCCGCTCAGTGTTAATGGTTTTGCTTGTTATTCTTCATCTCTGCTCATCTAAAAATCACACACATCACACAGGCATCACACTCAAAGCAAAGTAGCTTTCACTTCCCTGCTGCCCCATCCAACCTATACATCATACGCATTTTTTATTTTATTTTATTTTTTGAGTGGGCACTTTTGAATTCTCCTTCTTCTTCTCCTCTTGGTGAACACATCCAAGACAGGAGTTTAACTTCTGAAAGCTATTAAAGTCACCACTGTTAAATATCAGCATTCTGCCTTGAGAGGAATGAAAAGAGAAAGGAAGTTATAAAAAAAAACTACAAATGAGACTTACTTGTGCTTCCTGGATTCCTAAAAAGAAATCTCTAGGTTGATTTCGTTACATCCAAAAAGAGAGTCAATTCCACCAAGTGGCTCTCCCAATGAAGAGAAAGAGAGAGAATAGCCCCTATTCATTCTTCATATAATCATTTCCCTGTTCTCTGGTTGATTTCTCTTCTGCTCAGTACAACAAGAGCATTAGTTTAGAAGTGCAGTGTGTATCCTGGGAGAGAGAGAAAAGAGTGTGTGCCCCCCCCCTCTCTCTGTGTGTGTGTGTGTGTGTGTGTGCCTACAATCTCAAAGTGAAATGGCTAATGTGGTTTTGGATAACCTCTTGGGGGAAAGCTCTAACGTGAGTGAACAGCTTTGGAAAACTTCCCTCTTTCTCTCTGTTCTCGCCACCTATGCCTTCCAGATGTCGTTCCCATCATCCCCAGCTAACAGGAACGGGAGTGAGAGGGCACAGAATTCTCTCACATTCTTCTCTTTTTAGAGGTACACACTTTGGGGGAAAGAAAAGATTGCGCTCTGGAGATGACAGGATAGATGTTTTGTGACTTTCCGTAAGCCCAAAAGCCAAAGTAGTTCAGGAGGACATTCAAACGCTCCGTTGCTTCACCATCCCAAATAAACTTTTTTTTTTTTGCAGTCATTGTCTATTTTGTTAACCCGCTTCTTAAAGTGTAAATATCAGCAAGACTGTCAAATTTATTTATTTGTTTACTTGCTTGTTTGAATTTCATCCTGTATTTATTACTTTACAGGAAACTCAAGATGGTGAACATTAATATTCCTTCACCCCCCCCCCCATTTTCCCCATAACAACAACCCTGAGATGAATTAGACTGAGAGAGAAAGACTGGCCCAAAGTCACTCCTTTGACTTTCATGCCTATGACGGGACTAGAACTCATGGCCTCCTGCTATATGGTCTAAAGTCACCCAGCCAGCTTTTGTGCCTAAGATGGGATTAGAATTCACAAACTCTTGGTGACTGGTCACCCAGTCAGCTTTCATAAGTGAGGGCTAGAACTCTCAATTTCCTGGTTTCTAGACCAGCAGCTTAACCACTAGACCAGGGGTAGGCCACCCTGGCTCTTTTATGATCGTGGACTTCAACTCCCAGAATTCCTGAGCCAGCTTGGCTCAGCTTGAAAACCTCTCCCTTTCCCCTCAGTGTGGCTGGCTCAGGAATTCTGGGAGTTGAAGTCCACCAGTCATAAAAGAGCCAAGGTGGCCTACCTCTGGCCTAGGCCGCTTTATGACTTATGGACTTCAACTCCCAGAATTCCTGATCCAGCATGGCTCAGCTTGGAAACCTCTCCCTTTCCCCTCAGCATGGCTGGCTCAGGAATTCTGGGAGTTGAAGTCCATGAGTCATAAAGCGGCCTAGGCCTAGACCAGGGGTAGGCCATCTTGGCTCTTTTATGACTCATGGACCAACTCCCAGAATTCTTGAGCCAGCATGGCTCAGCTTGGAAACCTCTCCCTTTCCCCTCAGCATGGCTGGCTCAGGAATTCTGGGAGTTGAAGGCCACGAGTCATAAAAGAGCCAAGGTGACCTACCCTGGACTAGACTAAACTGGTCCTCTTTATTCATGAATGTATTCTAAATTCATACAAAACTCAAGAGATAGGGAAAACAAGTCTGAGGTCTGCTGGTGAAACTGGCAGGACAGAAAGTTATGCAAGCCAGCACTGGCTCTCATGTTGTCTTCTATCATAAATAGTTTTCAGAAGTTCTGCTGACCGATGGCTGAGAATCCCAGAAAGGTGGACAGGTTCCCTTTAAGGCTGGGATGTAAGACCTGAACGCACACCCTGACCCATAAGTATGGAAAATTGGGCTACCTGGAGGAAAGTGGGCCGGTCCAGGCATGTATCAACCCTGCTTGACAGAGCACTAGAATTTCCATTCCAAGCGATTGTTAATCAAACTGCACATGGCTTTACAGCCTACTTTGCCGAGGTGGTTAAGCAAAACACTGCAATTGTTGAATGAATTGTGTGGCCATGATTTAAGCACACCCAGCTTCTCCCATTGACTTTGCCTGTAGGAACCAACTGGGAAGGTCACAAGTGGTGATTGCATGATTTCTGGAGGCTGCCCCTGTCCTAAATTCATGCCAGTGGCCAAGTGCCTGGATTTCAGTCACATGACCTTGGAAAAATTGTGACGATCATAAGCGCAAGGACTGTTTGTAAGTCACTTTTTCCAGTGCCCTTCCAATTCCGTTATTCTAATTCTAAATATTTAAGGAATTTAAGACTCACCATTCATGTTTCTCCCTCTACCCAAAATAAAACTGACACCATATTTGAGTTATTACATGGAATTGTTATTCAGTACAAATAGGAGAAATCTGATTCAGGGAAAGATATTTATTTCCTTCTTTTTTTAATCCAGAGAGAACCTCATTGGGGCACTGTAGTAATACCTCTGTTCCAAGTGATACACTTTGCATAAAGAACAAACATGTGCAAATGAGGTAAATCACAGCAGAAATGTGATCTGCTGCATAAAAAAGACATAGCAGGGAAGCTCATTAAAATTGGTTATCCCTAAACCTTGATATTTAAATTAAATTTCTGTCTGTTTATATCCTATTTTGCCCAGTCCAATTTTTAAAAAAATGTTTCTAGGATAATTTTTCATGTATTTGAATTATTAATAGGATATAATAAAAATAAAGAAAAATTAAACTATAAACAAAGGAGAAAGGAGGGAAGAGAAAGGGGGGGAGGGAGGGAGAGAGAGAGGCACATACCCTTTTCTCTCTCCAAAGCTGCCCTGCCCTTTCTTGTACATACCCCACTTCTAAACTAATGCTCTGTGTATCAGAGCCATAGAATCAGGGGTCTACCACACTACTCAGGGTCCAAGATGCAGACTATGCAGAGAGGCCTCAGAGCCAGCCCAATGCATAGTGGGAGTGTTTAAATTGCAGGCACCAACAGCATATGCTGAACCCCACCACCAAGTAGCTGGTGTTATGTACTGGAACATCTTCATGGTGTATGGCGAGGCCCTCCTAAGTCCAGATGAGAGATCTACTGAAGGTTGTGGAGAAGAAGAATAAGATACTGTGGGATTTCCAGATCTAGATGGACAAGCAAGTCCTGACCAATCAACCAATCAACCAAGCAAAGCCCAGAGCACTGTGGTGAAGCTAGATATAGTGGTGCCAAGTGACAGCAACACCACAAAGAAGGAGGATGAGAAGCTGGAGAAGTAGCAGGGCCTGAAGGAGGAACTGGAGAAGATGTGGAAAGTCAAGGCCAAAATGGTCCCAGTAGTGGAAGGAATATTTTGGGCCGCAATTCCTAAACTGGAAAAGGGGCTCCCATATTATATACACCTGTGTGTATGAGTGCATGTATGTATATATAATGTTGGAATATTCATGAGCAGGAAGAGTCATGTGGTAACTCAGTCAGCCAATGTGAAGCTTTTGAATTAGTTAAATGTAGTCAACTGTGAGAGCTTCTGATTTATTTTTTCACCAATAGACAAATTAAAATTCTCTAACATATAATGTATGTGTGTAGTATGCAAATATTTGTGTGCATAAATAAATATGACATAAATATCCGTATTTCATCCTACTCATGTATAGGTAATCTAATAGTGGCAGGTAATTAGTCTGTATGTTGCCAGTAACATTAACTCTGCAAACCAGTAAGTAGCTTGGAACAAGCATTTATCCATCTAGTTTTGAAGAATTTAGAAGTCAGGTAAAGAGGACTTGCATTCTTTGTCTAGATGTCAGTTTGCAATAGGATGGGATGGGATGGGATGGGATGGGATGGGATTGAATAGAATAGAATAGAATGGAATGGAATGGAATGGAATGGAATGGAATGGAATGGAATAGAATAGAATAGAATAGAATAGAATAGAATAGAATAGAATAGAACGGGGTGGGGTGGGGTGGGGTGGGATAGACTAGACTAGAAATAGAAATAGAACAGAACAGAACAGAACAGAACAGAATAGAATAGAATTCTTTATTGGCCAAGTGTGATTGAACACACAAAGAATTTATCTCCAGTGCATAAGTAGCAAGTTATAGGTCGTAATCATAGTTACAATCATTAATCATAGGTTACAAAGAACAATCGATACATCATAAGAGACTGAATGGAGGAGGCAGTAGGAAATATGAGAAGATGAGAAATGAAACAGTGTTGTGGGAATTAAGTGTTCAGCAGAGTGATGGCATAGGGGAAAAAAACTATCTTTGTGTCTAGTTGCTTTGGCATGCAATGTCCTATAGCAGCATCCTGAGTAGAGAAGTTGAAATAGATTATAGGAATATATAGGAATAGAGTTCAAAAGAATATGATTATATGAAAGCATTCAGTTCTGTCTGATAGTTACGTTTTACAGGCATTTGGGCCAAATGATGGAAGAATCTTCTTGGTTGGTTTTTAGTGACTGAAAATGGGACAGGATTTTTCCTTCAATCTGAGGCATGTTATATATTATGGGTTGTTTGCACATAGTTTTACTTGTATTCTGTTCTTTTATATATGTAGATATTTTATTGGTTTTTAACTATAACAATCTCCAGTGCCTGGTGAACAGCGTGCTGCTTGGTTTACATTTTAACAAAAAAGAGAGGACAATAATAATTAATTAACAGGCACCCTTCCTTCACAGTCACCTCTCTGGGGCAACTTCAGACCCATCTAGGGCCCCCCAAGCAGGAAGAAACTAGCCGTGGGGAGCGGAGGTCCACCCTCACATGGCCATGTGCTGTGGACGCAAAACTGGAAGTCCTATTCTGTTCTTTTGCAGAATTTCTAGCACAGTGGTTCTCAACCTGTGGGTCGGGACCCCATTTGGGATCGAATGACCATTTCACCGGGGTTGCCAAACCATGCTGTCCGCCATTTTTTTCCCTTTTCCCTAGCTGTCCTACTCCCTCTTATTGGTGGCCACACCCACTTGGGGGTCACCACAACATGGGGAACTGTATTATGGGGTCACGGCATTAGAAAGGTTGAGGATCACTGTTCTAGCACAAAAAGTGCTTGGTTGTTTTGCTTGCAGACATTTCCTTACCCCAGTAGTAGGTAACGTCATCAG